GTAAGCACACCTCTCAGCCAAAGGCTTTCTCTCTCAAGGCTGCTGACAGAGGTTTGGCAGAATCTCCTCCTCCTGTTGGCGGATAGGCTCAAGCTCTGTTTTATATTTAACTCGCTCCAGTGCCGGAGGGGCCGGCCTGGGGAGACGCTGTTTATAGAGAGCTGGGCCAACATTCTCATCCGAACTCCTCCTTCAAGTCAGCTTCTCTCCTGAGTCCTCATCCCACTCCTTGGTTTCTTCCGCATTCCCCCTGGAGTGGCCGGTGGGGACGGGCGGGACTGGAAAAAGACACTGGACGCCAGACATAGAGGTGTGGGAAAGCAGAGTCAGGCTGCCAAAGCAGGGGACTCCTTCCCATTGAAAAGGGAAGTCAACTGACCGTAGTTAGTTAAATTTAACATCCTTTCATGAGTAACATCTGACTTCGGGAGGAAGATGAACTTTGCGGAGGAAGAGCCCTCTAAGAGATACTGCATCAGAGGCAAACATGTGGCCATCATCTGTGGGGTGGTGGTGGCGGTCGGATTAATAGTGGGGCTTTCTGTGGGCTTGACCAGGTCGTGTGATTGCTCTGGAGACACTGGGCAGGACACAACCCAGGCTCCTTCCACTGCCCAGCCTCCCAGGACCAGGACATCTGCCCTGCCAGTGAAGACGAAAGTGGAGAATGGACAAACTTCAGGCTGCCAGACTTCATCAAACCAGTCCACTACGACCTGGAGGTGAAGGCCCTGATGGAGGAGGACAGGTACACGGGCACAGTGACCATCTCTGTCAGCTTGAGCAAGTCCACACGTGACCTGTGGCTGCACATCAGGGAGACCAGGGTCACCAAACTGCCGGAGTTGAGGAAGCCCTCTGGGGAGCAGGTACCAATTCGACGGTGCTTCGAGTACAAGCAGCAGGAGTATGTGGTGATCCAGGCTGAAGAGGAGCTTGCCGCCACCAGTGGAGACAGTGTCTACCTGCTGACCTTGGAGTTTGCCGGCTGGCTGAACGGCTCGCTGGTGGGGTTTTACAGAACCACCTACACCGAGAACGGGCAAGTCAGGTACGGGCTGTGCGTCGCTTCTCTGAGCCCAGCTTCTGCAGAGATTATTTTTCTTTCTGTCTTTTATTTTGTTGGTCTGATCCCTGTCTGCCCTTGGCTTCAATTCTGCTTGCTCATCTGGGAAGCAAAATGCCTCGCCTTATTGTAGTTTGAAATTCTGTCACTAAGCTTGAAGGTTGGAAGTGGAATGCCCTGGTGTAGAGAAACCAGTAAGTCTTTTCCTTGCTACACCAAGGTAAATCACAACTCACTGCATCCTACCCTTAACCTCCACACAAACTACCTCAGATTTTTATGAATATGTGTGTATTTGGTAAATTTTACTACTGATATTTTTGGGATATGTTACAACGATCTGTTTTACAAGGAATGACAATTTCATTTGCAATGACAACGACACTAAACGTCAATTGTTATTTTGTGCAATTTCCTGGAGAAGGATCTTAATGAAAATTACACAAGATCTGACATGTCCTTAGGTGGACATTTAAGAAAAGAAGCCTTGCTGTGACTTGTGGTCTTCTGGGATCAGAACCAGCTTCTACCTAGGTTTTCAGGGAATGCTTGAGACACATCTCTGTGATGGCAGTGGGTAAGTCTTGGAGCTGCCAGCCATCACCAAGCATGCAATAGTAGCACTAAGCCTTTACAACGAGGCAGTCACAAATGTTTTTCTTCCCTGCCGTGCTCCAAGCTGAAGAGCTTAAACTACACATTAAATAACAATTATAAAACATACATGTTCTATCCGATCTAATCTATTATCTTTCTATCTGATAGTCACACAAATCAGTGAATTATCAGACCTCGGTTAAAGACATGAGGGCCTTTTTTGAACTCATAAAGCCATCAAAATGTGAGCGTGGCCAGGGACCCAGGCTACACTACACCTGAGCTGTCACTGGACTTGAACCTGCCTGGACATTTGCCTGCACAGATTCTGCAGAGTGGAATGTCTGAAAATAGCTGGGTGTCATGAATCAAAAATGGGAGCTGGGGGCAGTCCTCTGTGGCTCCCTTTCCTCTGTTGTCCGAGCATTTTACAGAGCAAAGCAAAAATCTCTCGGTCAATTTTCTTCCTATTGTTTCTCAGAGAGGTTCAGAGAGTAAGAAATGTTGAATCAACTTTACATTCTTGTGTGGCACATGGATAAACTGTATAGAAATGATAATTGAAAGAAAAGATTGGAGGGATCACATAATCTATCACTCGAGCAATCAAAGTCATAATTTTTCTTCCATTTTTAAAAATGACAGCAGAGCAAGATCTGGAAACAGTTTCACCGCTCAGTAGTATTGGCTACTAACATGTTAATCTGCACTTTCATACTTCCCTAGGCCATCAAATCGAAACGGAATTACACTTATCTATCTATGTGGATTTTAAAATTTAATCCATCAGAAACTTTTTCTTTTGTCTTTAAATATGTACAAGAATCTGATATTAGAGATTGTGTACTGCTCATCTCATACACGCACTTTCTGCTGCTGGACATCTGTGTTGCTTCTGGTATATTATCGTTATTATAAATACATCAGGGAAGGACATCTTTGCACGAACATCTGCTTATGTCCCCTAGGTTGGTAATCATCCTAAAAGCTGAATTACCAGGCCAAGGGTACAAGTATAGCAAAAGACTTTTAGCACTTAACTTTGTTTATACATGAATAATACACAGTCATTGCAGAGAACCTGAAAAAACAAAACAGTGAAAAGTTAAAAACGTAAACATCCACCAATGAGTTGACTTGGTATTGGTATTCTCCCACTAAATGGCATGCTGGACACATGCCTTGGTACGGCCATAGTATAACTCACTCAGCTTTTCTATTAGGCATGGATATTTAAGTTGCTCCTACACAATTTATAAGGAACAACCTTATAAATAATCGCTTATGGCTGTCTCCAGTTTGAGTTCTCTGATGTTTTTCATAGCATTGGTAGGGTCTAAGCTGAATTTTTGATATTATGGTAGGGTTTACACAGAGGCAGATGAGAAGGTAAGAAGCCAGAGAAATCGTGGTTGGGAACAAGACGCTGAGTTTGTTGGTGAGGTTTCTATACAGAAGCAAACTAGAGGGAAGTTTGTGGGAAGACACTGGAGAGAACTGTGGAAAGAAAGGAAAGAGTCACCATGGGGATGGGGGAAAATGAGTGAGGTTTTGATCTTGAAATTTTAGCTATAGGTCAGATGACTCTCAGCTCATGGAAAGTTATCAGTAGAGTGAGATTTATGAGGAGGTCTTGTATACTTGTTGTAGGGCTAGTGGTTTTTCTTTGCTTTGGAAGCAAGGAAAAGTTCTCTTGGCCTTGAACATCTTCTGCATACAAAGCAACACAATTTGGAATTAAATGATGAGCTGGTCCATTCAGTCCTCCATACGACTCCACTGAGATGTGAGTGATCACCCTGCATCAACTGAGCAGCTTGTGTGCAGGACTCAGGAACCCTTAACTGAGTGCAGACATGGCGTTGGTAGTTGCTACCCCTACAACAGAAGCCCTCCTGCTTAAGGATTTAAGCCAGACTTTGCTGTTTGTTTTGCTGGCTCATGTTATTAAGTTGCTGAACATGGCCTGGGAGTCGTTCTTGGGAGCATGGTGCCAGTGATTTATGAGATAGGCCAATTGTTTGGTATTTTGTTTTCTAAAGTTGATTCCGA